CATGTAACTATTCTCCATGCATTTGGAGAATAGTTACATGTGAGTGTAGTTACTTTATACTCTGAAGTGTGAGAAAGGAGATGCAAAATACCATGTGTGTGGCACCAACATGCACACACTTGAAACATGAAAATCTTACAGCAACATCTGCAGATACACCTGTTTCTTGTCATCTGTAGAATAAGCTAACCACTCTGCACGCTGGGCATCACTCAGGACCACGTCCAAGCCACCAAGTGAGAGGCACATCAGCGCAGAGAGAACCTCCGCACCTGAGACGTCCAGCAAGAGTGGGAGCCAACCATTGTGGATCTCGACGCTGACCCTGTTGAGGGCGCAGAGATGGGGCAGGACTGCATCCAGGAGGAAGAGGTGCGCCAGCACGTCTATTGCCTGCACCCTGCTGGAGCACGTGATGCGCAGGGGCGGGATGGCGCACGGTGGATGTAGGTCCAGGGTCACCTGTTCGATGCCGTTCCATTGAAGTACGAGTTTGGACGGTGCCGGTAATGTTTTCAGGATGACGAGTTGCGTGTATTCAATTCTCTGACAACTTGAGGTTTTGGCTGGTAGCAGCACCCGTACGTGCGCGGTCGGGGAGCCGCCAGCTGAGACTATATTACCAAAATCGATCGACGTTATCATCGACCGATTAGATAGGCCTGCTTTAGGGAGAATAAGCTGAGACACTGTAACCGTACGAGTGGACTGAGGCTGTGAGCACCAAGAGTTTTGGCCATGAAAGGAGCAACGACTTACATGGCTCAGTGCCGTCGAAAGCATTGTAGCGCAGATTGACCCGGTAGGGCGGGCCCCCGGACGACAGCGTGGCTAAGATCTTCTCGGACAAAGCGAGAGTCGCGTCGTTGACATGCATCCGGCCTTGACTGGCGAAGAGAGGATTCGCTTGTTCAAATTGGCCACTCGAGTATCCGTCCTTAAAGCGCCGAATGATGTGGAGAACCTGCGGCCGCGAATGGCGACGGGATCGCCGGCGGACGAGACGGGTGACGGCACCGTCCACGAATGTAACTTCCTCAACAGAGAGCTCCATCATGCCAAGATGAGCAATGCAGTTGACGAGATCCTTTACAGATAACAAGCGCAAGCGACAGAGGGTCAAGTGCCCGATGCGCAAAGTTGACCCTGGCAAGGCCTTGGGTAGGGAGGCGAAAGGCAATAAGGTCGTCTTGTTCGGCTCAGGCTTGTCTTCGCTGCGGACGGTCCAGGACATGTGGACCGGGAAAGTCAGCTGAAGGCGATGCCTGTGAAGCCGAATGACATGGTAACTCCACGGAATTTGGGTGGGGATCCTGTCTTCGACGAAGTCGAGACGGCCGACGCAGTCTCTGATGTTAGGCACAAGGTAGTCTGATGCATCCAGCAGTGTGAGAAGATCTGAGATGTCGTCTGCACTCCTCAGAGTGAGCCTCTCGAAGAGTAGGGGCCTGATGAGTCGCGCCCAAAACCGTCAGGTTAGACTGCACGCCGTCAGTCCTCGTTTAATCGATTGCCAATCGGCGCCCCAGTCGGCGTCCCAGTCGCGGCAGCGTACAAGGATGGCATAGATCAGCTCTGGTGACATGTTCTCTCCCTTTTTAAAAAGCACCAGTCGGCATGAGACGAGAAAAATACGCACGTGAATGGACGGTGTAGTCGAAGTGCAGGGTCGCTGGGCGCTCCGTGAGCTCTGCACCGCCATCACATCGCCATCGGCGGATCGGCAGCAGCCGGGTGAGCCCGGATCTTTGTGGCGCGGGAACTTTCTCCTCTCGTCCCATCGACCGGTACAGTATCTCAAGTTTTCGCCTGGCAGCGTACGTTGGGCTTAGGTTAGGCGACCGCTAATTTCATACCACATCGCACCCTCTGCTTATCCACGGTAAGCATCTTTCTCCTCGTACATTTTGGCTTCCCGGGTTGACGTTGGCATACTCAGAGAAGGTCAGGAGCAAGGTTAGCGGGACAGTGACAACAGACTGCCTCGATTGGGCCTCCCCTACCAGTTCAAATCGTGCAATTCCATTGCTTTTCGTTATCGCTGCTCTTAGGTGATGTATCAATCA